GAGAGAGAGAGAGAGAGAGAGAGAGAGAGAGAGAGAGAGAGAGAGAGAGAGAGAGAGAGAGAGAGAGAGAGAGAGGGCAAAGCTGAGGGAGAGCGACCATACCTGAGAGAGCTGTTTGACGGCCATACCTGCAGTTTCTGGTTCTTAGTCAATCTTGTGTACTCGAGTTGATTGGCCAAGACTATTCTGAGTTTACATCTCACCTATTCTCACGTGTGCATTCGTCTATGTGAGTGTCATTGTGGGGGCTTGGTGAGGTGCGCTGTGCATGGATTGTCTCCAAGCAACAATATTGGACACATGAAAGTGCATGTTATGTACAGTATTATACACGCGTGTGTGTGTTCGGAAATGATCTCACGGCGCATCCGCCATGCTACTCCACTCTTTCAGTGGTACACCAGGTCCACCCATAGCCCATCACATGCCGTTTTAACTGCCACCCATCCATGCTACCTTGCCAGCTTAGAATGACAGGCCACACACAAACAAACCAAACAGGCAAACCACTGCTGCCGCTTTACTTCTCTGAAGCTACCGCATACATCCGTGGCTACCACAACCAGTTTTCTAAGTCCCACATAGGATGGAGGGCATGGGGGAGGCGCGAGGGCAGATGGCACACAACGACATCAAGCAGCCAATGAAAAGGCATAGAGTGATAAGGCATGGGATGCCAAGCAACAGCGAAGGACAAAGGCTGGAGGGCACAGGGGAGGTGGAGGGGCAGACGACACACAAGCACACCAAGCAGGCGGGAGGGCAGACAACATGCAAGCACACGAAACAGGCAAACAGGAAAAAAATACGAGTCCCATAAAAAACGAGAAGACCGAAAAAAATAAAAACTGATGATAACAAGATTGTTTCGTCGGAGTTGCACCGACTCATCAGGAGGCTGAACCCTCGACAATCTGCGGAATCCCCGTATTTGATGGTTTGGGTCATGAACCCTTTGACCCATGTTGAAGGCAGACTGTCCTCAAGCGGGACATAACAGCGGGCAGCAACCCTGTGGAGCACCAGGCAACACAGTAGAGGCAACACGGCTGCACAACGCCAAAAACGACCGCAAGGAACGCCATGGCACGCAGGGCATGCAGCCGTGTCGTGAAGCACAAGACAACACAAGCAAAGGCAACAGCACTGCAGGGAACGACAGGGCGAGCGGACCAGCAGCTCGGCAACCGTGGAGCGGAGCACAAGGCACCAGCAACAAGGCAACCAACCTACAGGGCACAAAAGCGGCAAACGCAGAAGGCACGACCAGCGGATGAGCAGCACGGCAGCGAAGCGCAAGGCAACACCAACAACACAGCCACACCGCACGGCGAACACATCAACCTGCAAGGACACATGCAAAGCAAGCGGGACAGGCAGCAGGGCAACGGCGGAGCGCAGACGAGGACATCCACACATCCAACACGGAGCAAAGCAGCACATGACCTACTCACATCACGATTGAACCCCGCAGACTGTTGGTTCACACCACCCGCTGAGCCAGGGAGACACTCCGACGACCATCTGTCATCACTGATAGGCAACACAGACATCCCGAACCGAGCGCCCCCCCTAAGAGTGCAGTAGGCACTCCAAACGAGGAACCACCGA